TTTTTTTTTTTGTCTTTTTATATTTGCTTGTAGTATATCTGTGCTCTGATACATGGTTAATTTTTGTAAAAATTCCATATGGTGAAGAGAAATGTGTATATTCTTTAGCAGTCCAATTTAAAAGATTCCCTAACTTTTTTATCTTTACTTTCTCAAGCAAATCTTTCTTATTTTCCCCTATGCTTATCTTTCTGTTTGACTTATCTAAAACTGAGAGGGAAATTTGACTTTTCTGCCAATATAATGTTACTGTCTGTGAGCTCTTTTGGCAGAAAGAGGAAGGAGACAGATAGCATTTGGAGGGGAAAATGATAAATTAAGTTTTGGACATCCTAAGTTTGAGATGCTTTTGAGACATCCAGATGGAGCTGCATAGCAAATATTTGAAAACACAGGAATGAGCTTGGAAGAGAAGTCAGGGTTCAATAAATAGGTTCATTTATTCACATATAGTAATTCTTGTATAACCAGATATTCATTCCATAAACATTTATTAAATGGTTACTGTGTGTTGAGCACTCCATTAGATCTCAATTTAGAAATCATACTCTTAGAAGTGATAGGTAAAGCCATACGGACACATGAAATAACACATACTACACTTCAGTTTACACATGCTTACTTCAGTCTTCATTTTTTTTTACTTCTTTCCAGGAACAGAAAATAAGACTCTTTTTATGGATAATATTGAAGTTAGAATTATGGAAAATAATCTCTCTTCCACAATCGGGATGGTATCTACTTATTCCATCCTTCACTCAAAACGTACAATAGTGCCCAGTTAACTTCTTTTGTTTTAGAGAAACTACAGTATAGTAGAAAGAGTGCTAGAATTAGATTCAAGAAGATCTAGATTCAGATCCTGTCTCCAACATTTAACTTGCTGTGTGACCAGGACTATTTCTCAAAGCCTCAGTTTTCTCAAGTGTAAGTTGGAGATAATAATACCTACTTCACAGGGTTACATTTTTGTAAGGCTTAAATGAAATAATATATCTCAAGTAAATGTGCCATAAACCTTAAAACAAAATACTAATGTTTTATATTATCATTCATTGATATTAAAGTTTCTTTCCAAAGAATTGTGTGTGATAGTATTATAATGCTGCTTACTGAAGGTGAAACAAAGGTACAGAGATGTTAATTCTGGAGGGGTTCAGAGTGATATTTATTAATATAGATAATTCAAAGACCTATTAATAGTCCATCGTAATTATTTGCCTTCCACCACTTTCTCAATTCGGTTCGACAGAAATATGACAGAACCTCTATTTTTTTTTCAATATTAAAATCTCTCACAGGTGCAGTCAAACATCCCCTGAAATATGAGCATTCAGGCTAACATCCTAAATAAGGCATTTGACTATAAAAGCTACCCTCTTTTTTGAGAAATCCTGGTTCCTGTCTTTAGCTTTCTTTCCAGCATGGGAGGCATTGCCTCCATTGTGAAATACTCGTGTCTCTGTTAGATACAGAGGAGGCATTTTCCCCAGCAGGCAATGGTCAGAATCATCTCCCAATCTGATTGTAAATGCAGCTTTGGCCCATTTCATGAACCCCTTTGAGGCAGTTATCAGAGTTTAGTGAGCTGCTACAAGCAACTCATTTCTCCTTTTGCTGAACCTGTTCCAAAGGGTCAAAATCCATCTCCCCTGTGACAGCAGTTTAGGCGAGAAGGGAGACTAATGTAGCCTCTGGCAGAGTTTTCACCTTGAAGAGCAAGTAATAGCCTTAGATGTTACTTTGTAACCACAGAAAACTAAGCCACATGCCTAAAGGGCTTGAAAGTCAGTAAGTCAAACTTTTCATCAAATCTATTTAACTATTTCTCTCTCTCTCTCTCTTTCTCTCTCTCTCTCTCTCTCTCTCTCTCTCTCTCTCTCTCTCTCTCTCTCTCTCTCTCTCTCCTTTTTAAATACATGAAATGAACAACTTGAGTAGCCATAGTTTCAAAGAGTCTGTGACTTTAGTATCCTAGAATTGTGCAGTGCCAGGGCACATGCCTATGTGACTGTAGTAGTTATAAGAGTAAGAATCCTATTTCAGCCCCATATTAATTTCTAAGGGAGGGGAAAGCAGTCTTTAGGGCTGGGTGCAGAGGGCATAAGTTGGAATAATTAGAAGAAATTAAAAAAGGTGAATTTAGGTTGAAGAAGAGGGAGGAAGAGAAAAAAGATTCTCGATGAGGTGTCAAAACATGGCATTTTCTCCCAGGAGCAATGGTCATAGTTAAATAAACTAGATAAAGTCATGAAAGCTATGATGTAATAGGTGAACCCTCACTGCTATAGGGAAAGAGCAAATGCTCCCAACATTTTTTTTTTGTTTCCTTAACTTTGATGACACCATGAAGTATGAAAAAATGTCTTCCTTTCTTTGGAGTAAATCTCCTCATGCTAAAAAACAGCGTACCCTGAAATTCTAGGATTTAAAAAATAATTTGTCGAGTCAATCATTGCAGTGTCCTTATAGACAGCCATTGTAAAAGAGGTAGTTATTAATAGATTATGTTAATAGTCTTCTGCCCTCATCATTTAATGATGATCCTTTTCCATTTCATGAATATGTATGTTTGCCTGATAGAAAGAGGAGTAGTACAGTATAGTAGAAATAGGGATGGATTGGAGTCAGGAGAAGCCTGGGTCAGAATCTACATACTAGCTGTATGACATTGGTTAAGTCACTTAATCTTTGAGCCTTAGTTTCCTCATCTGCAAATGGGGATATGAAAAGTACCTATCATTGTATTTGGAGTTTTTTTAAGCCTATAATTTATATAAAGTGGTTTCCTATATACCCAGAGTAAAATACAAACTTTTTTTTGCTTTTAAAGCACTTTACGACCCTAATATATGTTTCCGGACTAATTGGACATTGGACATTATTCCCCTTCTCACACTCTGTGACCCAGGAAAACTGGCCTCTTCTCTGTTCTTCCTACGTGGCATGCCATTTCGCCCTTCCCCACCTTTACATGGACCATCCTCAGTGACTGGAATGTATTCTATCCTCATCTGCATTCATAGAGTCCACATCTCCATTTAGGACACAGCTTAAAAATCACTTCTACATGAAAGCATTTCTGATCCCAACTGCTAATGCCCTCCCTCCCAAATTACCTTGTAGTTAACAATTTTGTATTTATTCTCATCATATCATTCTGCATATGCTTACATGTTTGCTTGTTTATCCCATTAGAATGCAAGCTCCTTGCAAGTAGGGATTGTTTCATTCTTTGTATTTGCATCTCCAGTGCCTGGCCCATATAAAAGCACTTACTAAATGCTTATTTATTGATTAAATGGCTTTCAAGCTTCCAAGTGCTAAATAAATGTTAGCTGGCATTATTTGAAAAAAATAAAAGACCGTGTTTTTGTTAAACACCAGCATACTGCTTCTCTTTGACTAAGAAAGAACATCTGGAACATTCAGTGGGAGTAATATGTTCTGGGTTCCTACTTGTCATTTAATTTAGAGAAGGCAGCTTATGCCTTCTATGCCATCCAATGTGGTTTGAAGATTAATATAAAGAGAGTTGCATATACTTGGTTTATCATTATAATTACTATAGTTCTATGATTGACACATACTTGAAAGATAGAGGCAGATCTTGCTCATAAGGTTATAAATTTAGATTTGGAACATATCTTAGAGACCATTTAATCTAACCCCATCATATTACAGTTGAGGAAACTGAGGCCCAGAGAGGTTAAGTGATTTGTCCAAGTAGTATATAATAGGGCTATGATTTGAACTCAAGTTGTCTAACCTCCAAATCCAGTATCCTTTCTACCATATGACACTGCCCTCTCCCAATAACCTATTGAGAGGTAAAAACATTTCATCAGCCAGTTTTGCATGTACTCAAATAAAGAGCTATGTTTCTCCTAGACAACCTATCAGTTCCTTTGTATCTGCCAATATCAACTGAGATTCTATCTGAAACTTCACTTTCTATTCAGGAAATTATAGTTTCCAAATTGTCTATGTTGTATAGAATAATAATTAGATATTGTTTCTTAACATACTTATTTGAGTTAATTAAGAATCTGTGGCTTAAATAATGTGGCTATTCTCCCACATAAACAGCTTGCAAACTTTCTATACTTTGAGATGGTAATTTGATATGGCTGATACTGTAAAGATGCATTTCTCTGTAATTAGTTAGGGTGGTAGTTATTCAAGAGACATGTAACCTATCACCTCAATCATATTTGAAGTCTTTTTAGCTTAGTAAGATCTGACAGAGTTTATGCTTCACTGGCATAATCTTTGGGAAGCGAGGATCACCTCCAGCCCACACTGAGATTTTGGAGTAATACTTAATGGAAGACCTCTTGCTATATTCCTAATAAATTATTTAATGCAATAATGGGTCTTTGTTTGAAATATATTTGAAGAGACTTTTGCAACAACTATAGTTACGAATTCAATGTAGGCACAGGCTCCATGCTTAAATTACGAGGGTAAAAATGTGGGATGATTTGTAGATTGTTTTAATTAGAAGAATAAGAAGAACAATGTGTCCTGGAACAGTAGGAGTTAAATGGCCTAAAGACCTTTTAAAAAGAGGGATAGCATTCCAGATCATCTGGGTCCCCTTTAAGCCTTGGCTGTGATGCATATATACATTGACAACTTGTAACAGATGTATGATCATGAAGTCTTGAGCCAACCCATGCCTCTTTGAAGAGGAAAATGATTTTTACAAGGGACATTATGAGAGATACTAAAAAATGGGAAAAATGATAACCCTTCATGTGTGATTTAACATATGTGGGAATATTCATTCTGGCTAAAAGGCGAGTACACTCAAGCCTGCCATTTCATACTGGTGTTCGTCAGTGAAAGCAGATCTACTCAGCCAAAGTTCAGGGCAGCCCATTCCAATGGATGATGCCATAACAGGTTGCTGAGAAGGAAACTGCTGTGGGCTTGAACTTGTCACACTCTTCTGGTAAATATGTCAATAAGAATGTATTAAATCTTTGTACTTTCAGAGGGATTAGAAGCAAAGGGCCTTTCTCCTCCTCCCAAGAAGAGCAAAGCAAAGAAGTCAGAAAGTGTGAAAGAATCTAACGAGGGTAGGTGTCGTTCATTGTCTCCCTAAAACCACCCAACTACTGTTTATTAAAGAGAAAAAATGTATCCCTTTTCATTTTTTAAACTGGCCAGGATATGCTCAATTTTTAGGCAGTGTTAATGTCCCATGCATCCCTGTAGGAGCCTGTAAATAAATCAAAGATTATTATCTGTCTATAACTTAATAAATACTTTTTTCATTGTTTCTAAATTGCTTGCAGCACTATCTTCCCCCCCCCCCTTAATCCTTGTTGTAAGGATAAACATCGAATAAAGATTTATTTGTTTTTCAGGATTTCTTTTAAGCAAATGAAAAAAAAAGAGATATGTTCCCAGTAGGATGTATTTTCTCTTTCTGCAAAGTGGAAAATTGAAGGTTATCTTTACAAGTAACATTGCCTGAAATTGTGTGATAGTTAAGGTCAGGATCAAGACGCAATGCCCAATGACAAAGCTATTGGCTTATTGGGATAATTTGTTCTTCTTTTGAACATATTCCCAGAATCAAGCCACCACAACGGATGATGAAAATACTTCCTGCTGAGCATTTTATTTTGTTTTGCATTGACTGCAGAGTCCATGTTTAGCTATATTCTGCAAAAAAAAAAAAAGGCAGCATTGAGCAGTGGAAAAAGTCTTGGATTGAAAGTCAGAAGATCTGGGTTCAAATCCTGATTCTGACACTCTGTGTGACCTTTATGCAAGTCAGTTTATCTTTCAGGGACTCAGTTTCCTCCTATGTCAAATAAGGCAGTTGGGTTATATGGTTTCTAAGGTCGCTTCTAAGAGAGTACTTCTACATCTTGCTTTTTGAAAGTCTAAGAATTCTTTTGGATAACCAGGGCATTGTTTAGGGTTCCAGAAGAACTAACACTAATGAAACTTAGCCTGACTGGGCTAATGCTCCCCTCAAAAAGACCTTAATAAGGAATCGATGGTTAATTTTGTAAAACTTGCTAGACATTAAGTGGTTTGGGATAGCTAGGTGTGCAGCAGAGCACCACTCTTGGAGTCAGGAAGATCTGAGTTCAAATATGACCTCAGACATTTACTAGCTCCGTTATCCTGGGCAAGTCACTTAACCTCTATTTGCCTCAGTTCCTCATCCATAAAATGGAGGTTCAGTGGTATTCCAGTATCTTTGCCAAGAAAACCCCATGGATAAGAGTCCACTGAGAATTCATTCTTTTATTTATTCATTTATATACTCATTCAAGAAATATATTAATCCCTGGGAGAAGATAAAAAGAAAAACAAACTAGAGACCTTATCTCCAAGAGACTTATAACCTAATAGAAAACTGTGTATGTAGAGCAACAACTAATTTGAAATAGAAATTGGTGTGTGCACAAGAGAAGTTTGAACGAGGTGCTATTAGAGTTTATGTGAGGATGATGTCACTTCTAGCCAGAAGGATTAGGAAAGATTCATCAAAGAAATGGCATTTGAATTGTTCTTTGAAGTATAGGGAAGTAGAGTTAGAGGGGGAGGAGGATGGAGAAGAAATTATAGGACATGCAGAAAAGATGTCAGAGACCTTGTAGTCCAACTTTCCCATTTGACAGGTAAGGAAACTGAGGCCTAGGGAGACTAAGGTTGTTGTCCAAGGTCACCCAGCATGCTAGGAGTATGGAAAAGTATAAACAAAGGCTGGGAGGTACAGAATGTGTTTAAGCAGAACAAGTTTTCAGTTTCAACTTGAGGAGAACATGGGACAGTAAATAGTGTGAGAAGGCTGAAATGTAATGGCAGATAGATTATGGTTGGCCTTAATGCAAGCTAAGGAATCTGGGCTTTCTTTGATAGTCAACAGGGAATGCTTAAAGGTTTTTAAGATATTTTTAATGTGATAAGAGACATACATTAGGGAAATTATTCTGATGATGGCATGTAGAGTGAGTTGGAGGGAGAGAGACCAGAAGTGAAGAAACTTGTGGAGAAGAGCATTGTCTTCTGAGTTCTTTTCCAACTCTGAGATTCTGTGACTGGGTACCACCTCTGACTGACTTACTAGCTGTATGACCTTGGGTGAGACATCTCCTTTGGGATTCTCAGTTACCTAATCTGTAAAAGGAGTATCAGCATGCCTGTTACACAGGCTTGTGAAGAAAGTGTTTTGTGAGTGAGAAAGCACTCTGTATGTGAGCTATTCCTCCTGAGCTTTCTGCTGGTGCAGGTGAGACAGGTACAAACATTAAGTTGCCTTTCCCCTGGAGAGTTGCATCCTTCACATTCTTTCTCATCAAAGGTATGTTATCCTTCAAAGGTTTGTTGGGTTTTTTTCCCCCATTGAGAGCTGCTCTTTTGCCCTTTCAGCTTGTCATGTTATAGGTGATAGAGTGAAGAGTATTTTCCTCATAACATGTTGTTATCAAGGGAATCCCTGCAAGTTACTCTTTTCCCCAAAATGAAATGCTTCACTCTCCACCAAAGTAAGTTACTTTTTGAAACCTATTCACAGTGTGAGCCAGTGATGTGACTCTAGTTACCCAACCCCAGTGTCTGAAGAGTCAGCGTGAGTCAAAAAAATTAAGGAGATAATCCTTTCATTTTTTAAGACAGTGCTCAGGACATCATTCTGTCAGTCACATCGTGACTATGTGTAAATAATGAGCATGTCCTTGACACTACAGGGATGGCATTGTTTGATGTGGGAAGAGGTAGTCCTTCCTAAGCTGGTCATTGGGTATACTTTACAAAAACAAACAAAAACAGAAAAATATTTTGGTTATTTTATTTATAGTTCACCTTGCTTCTCCGCTGCTATTCACTCAATGTTGGATTACCATGAACGAAACCAATGTATGTGCTTAGCTACCAGAATGGGCCCTTAGAAAGGTGTAAAACAGACTCACTCAGGCTTTTCTGGGACACATAATTATATGAAATATTCGAGCTAGAAAAGGTGATGAAGATCACTTAGTCCAACCTTACTTTTTAAAATTAATTTTATTGGTATATTTTGTCTTATATTTCCTGAATTTCCCTCTATATTCCTCCTCTCTGCACCTCCCAAAGGCATTTTTCTCATAACGATTTTTTTAAAGAAAAAACTTAAAGAGAAAAATTAGTGAAACTAATTGATACATGTTTTTAAAAATGTGACAACATAGGTAAGGACCCACTTCCACAGACACTTCGCCCACCTCAGAAAAGGTGTAATGAGAAGTGTCTCTTCTTATCTCTTTTTTGGGGACAAGCTTAGAAAGACAGAGAGAGAGAGAGAGAGATTCTGCAACAGTAATTTCCCTTGTTTTATGGTTGTTCTTTCCATGTATATTATTGTGTTTGTTTCCCTGGTCTTTCTTCTTTACCTTTTTTCCATTTGTTTAAATCTTTCCATGTTTCCCTATATTCATCATTGCCATTATTCCCTACTTGGGCATCTAGGTTGAGCCTTAGAGTATAATACCAGACCTGGAATCAAGAAGACTCATCTTCCTGAGTTCAAATGTGGCCTCAGACATTTACCAGCTGTGTGACCCTGGGCAAGTCACTTAACCCTGTTTGCCTCAGTTTCCTCATCTGTAAAATGAGCTAGAGAAGGAAAACCCCTCTAGGATCATTGCCAAGAAAACCCCCAAGTGAGGTCATGAAGAGTTGGACACAACTGAAATGACTAAACAGCAACAAATTATTTCCTACAGCACAATAATATTCCATGACATTCATGAATATAGTTTGTTTAGCCATTTGACAATGATGGGCAATCTACTTTCTTTTCATTTGTTTCTACCATGAAGAATGCTATTATAAATATTTTGGTACAAATGGAATCTTTCTTATTGCTTTAGTATAACTTTGGAACTTGTAAGCTCTTTGAGTGCAGGGATTGTTTTTTGCCTCTTTTTGTATCCCCAGTTCTTAGCACAGTGCCTGGCATATAATAAATATTCATTAAATGTTTATTGATTGATTAATTGATTACTGGGTGACAAAGCCAAGGCCCAGGAAGATGAAGCAACTTGCCCAAGATCTTTTAGCTGGTTAATAACTGACCTCACATTCAGTGCTTTCTCCAACAGGCATACCACCTCATTTCTATAATTTACCATCCAGGCCTTGTCCTCTATTCACAGTAATAGAGCATGTTATGGTTTAAAAATCACTTTCCTCATAATAAGTATGGTATAGTAGAAAAAAGTTCTGAACCCAGTAAAGAAACACAAGTTTGAGGTTTTAATCCCCACTCCGATACTAGCTGTGGGATCCCTTAATTTCTCAGTATCTTCACCTGTAAAACTGGGAGGTCCCTTCCAGCCATCTGATTCTAAGTAGCTAGTACAAATATTATTTTCCTTATTGTACATAAAAAATGGGTCCTCTGAGAAGGTTAAGAAGAAATGCTCTGCTTCTCCTGAGTTTGCTTGCTCCTCCAGCCAGCTGAACAAATGAATACCACTTGGAACACTCATTTTAGCCTACAGGAATCCCTTTCTTCACTTAACAGATGATTCCAACAAAGCTTCCTATAAATCACTTTTTAAAAAATAAAATGGAGCCTATCATGTTTCCCTAATTAAGTCCATTTTAAAACTCAGAGTTTTCCCCACAAGGACGAAAATTTACCTATAGTGTGTGTGGCCACCATTAGGCTGCACCAGTGTGTGATGGGAATCACAACTTACTAGTATACTTCTCCTGAGTAGCACTTTCCTGACTCTAAGAGCATCAACTTGAATATCAACTGTTTCAAGGTTCCACCTCCCCACCACCTGCAAAACCTCCTTCTTAAGCTCCTTTAGAAGTTGTTTTCTTTAGAGGATTTTTGTACCTCCTTTTCCATCTGGCTGATTTTTAAGGAGTGTTTTCTTTTTCCATTTTTTGTGCTTTCTTTTCCAAGTTGCTGACTCTTTTTTTATAATTCTCTTACATAACTCTCATTTCTTTCCCCAGTTTTTCTTCTGTCTCTCCTATTTGATTTTTAAAATCCTTTTTGAGCTCTTTCAGAAGAACTTTTTGGGCCTGACACCAATGCATGGTTCTCTTTGAAGCTCTGCAC